TACAATGTATTAACCTTTATGTCTGAAAATAGAAACCAAATATAAAAACATTTGTCTTTGTCCCTTTTGTTTTCATGTATGCTTATTAGTTTCTTCACATAACACTGGAATGTGACCAGACACAATGCGACAAATAATATGTCTATATATGACAAATATATGTGCTGCAGAGTTGATGTGTTTTTGTTGACCAACCCAGAAGTTAATATCAGACTGGTTCGCGCGACCATAATCCAGTAGGTTTTTTCCATTGGTTTTTGGATTATTGCAGAAAATAAGTAATATGACCAATAAAAGTTTATGGTTCTTCCATGTTTTGTTCATCATAATCTTCACAAACGAACACAGCTTTATGAATTTTAAAGGCTAGATACAATTGCCAGAAGTAAAATGCTACATATATCAAATGAAACCGCAATCACAAGACCATCATTAAGCTTCCAATGACTTTCAATCTTTATTTTAAAAAATTTCTTAAAAAGTTTGAGTTTAAATAGTTAGGTGTGATGTTTAATGTCCCCAACAACCTCTTGTTAGCAACTGCTTTTTTCAAGAAAAGTAAAAGCTTTAAAAAAAAAAATCACAAAGGTGTATTACTGATGTATTATGTCATAGAATAAAATGCGAAATATCTTGAGCTTGTGTTAACCACAGACCTTATTTCAGGCATTTAACAAAAAACTAAAAAAAATTCAAAATAAACCCATCAACTTAAGGGCGATTGAACCAGAAGTGCTAAAATGCTAACTCGTTTTTGGGTTTTGGCCAACAAAAATATGTCATCCCTGCAGCACTCTATTAATGATGATTTTTTTTTTTAAAGTGATAATTGCAATTAGTGTGGTTATTTTTTGCAGACTAAAAGTAATTTACCGATTAATCTTTACAAGCGTGAGAGCAGTTTGCTCTCATAATCAATGATCAGGGTAAAGATGCCGCCCTCATGGCAGACAAGACAATTGTGCAATGAGTGGAGGAAGCTGTGCTGTTTGGTTCTTCAGTGTTCGCTGTTCCACTTCTCCAGCACAAGTTTTGCTGAGACGGCATCTTGTATCCCCATTCCTGCATTTAAAAATAATTCAAAATATCCAACTAGTCATAACAAATAGCTTTGTTTCAACTAACATTGACAAATTTGACAAATGCATCATTCCAGGACTAATTAGTGCTTTCTAAGAAACCTCAGGAAATAATAACAGACACAGCTTCCTATGAATAAACTCTGACATGACATTCCCAAATTTGAATTGGAACTGGCTGAAGATCAGCAGGGGTTGCTTAAGCTTGCATAATAAAACTTATACATAGAAATACTTCCTTTTTGTCTTTTGAGAATACTGAAATGCAAGCATCAAGATTTTTAAGGCACTGCTACTACTTTCTATCAGTGGTGAGAATGCATTTGTTTATTTTCAGTACATCTTGTTCTTCATTTTTTTAGATTGCAGCTGTGGGAAAACAAGTTACCCAGTGACTTGAATACCGTAGTCTTCTCACGCTGAGCAGGAAAAGATCCATTTATAACTTCTCCGAGCTCTGAGAAAACTTCAGCCTGGGCAAATAATGAGCATGTAAAATATTTAGGAATTTGGATGTATTATATGTATAACTGAGGAAAGTAATGCATACTCCAGACAGAATGATGTCTCCTGACTGTGCTGTCGCCCCCTCTCTGCTGTCCACGTACAACACAGCCTCTCTCATCAAAACATCATCCAGCTCCCTCCAGTCTGGCCGACAAGTGCCCACCGCTGTCACAAAATAGAGCACCACGATAGATAAATACACAATGTAGTAACTATGATGTGGACTTGTTCAAGTTGGTCATGCAAATTTGCTGCATTGACCAACAGTAAGCAGCTTGGTTTGAAAGTGACTTCTGTGGAAGCTGTGCTTCGTTCATCGCTATACTATTGACAATTATGGATAATTTTTGCCTACAAAATATCTCTGAAGTGACGCTCACGTAACTGCATCACTTTTGTCATGACTATATTCTAAATATAACATGGCCTCTTGTACCTTATTGGTTAAATGCCTCATAGAATTTCTCTGTTGGAAATCTGTGGACCAGCTGACCTGCTATGTGTGCACCTGGTTTGACCCACTCGCCAAAGAGTATCGGCTGACTTGCACCTGTGGCAGTCACTATTACATCAGCTCCTATCACCGCCTCTTTCACTGAAGAACAAACTGTTACAGGGCCTTGGAGATCATTAACAAACCGTTGAGCCATTTCTTTCCTTCTGTTCCACACACGGACCTGAAGTGCATACAACAACACTGGATTACACACACACACACACACACACACACACACAAACGGTTTTTGTATGACTTGGACATATTTCCTATTTTCATACTGGTTACCTCTTTGAACTTGAAGAGCTTTGTAAAGACATCATAGTGGCTTCTAGCCTGTTGTCCTGAACCAAGGATGCACAACACCTCTGAAAGAGCTGGCTTGAACAGCTGGAGAGAGAAAAAAAATTTTTTTTCAGAATAAGTGACTATAAATATTACACCATTACAAATCTAGGGTCTGAGAAAACTACTTTAGCTGATATGGCTGATACTGCTTGCGGTTCGTTTGGCTGTGATGGCCTCCCCATCCATGATCTGACATCAGAGATACAGTTACAGAACTAAATGATTCCTAGAGCATTTTTAACCTCTATATTTAAATAAATCAATTAAATAAAAATATAAAAAAGATTTTTGTACACCAAATCATATGGTGTGGGTGCCAATTATATTTGTAAATAATAATAATAATAAATACAACAAAACATATTTTTTAAATCAAGGGTTATGATATGTTATATATATAATAACATTTTCCTTAGATACTTGATTCATATTGGAGATGTATATATATATGTATGTATGTATATATATGTGACCCTGCCTGTGAAAACCCAGCTAAAGTCATTTTTTGTGATTTACTGTTTTCTACATAAAATCATCCTTTATAAAGATGTAAAGAACATTCTGTGAAAATAACCTTAGTTTATATATTCACACACACACACATATATATATATATATATACACATACATCTCCAATATGAATCAAGTATCTAAGGAAAATGTCATTATTTTTTTACTTTAATGGTTTCAGTACACTGTTACTGATTTTTTTTTTTTTTTTACATCCAAGTCATTAATAAAAATTCAATTCATACATCAAAAAAATCAATTAAATATAAACAATCATAAACTCTTGAAAAGAAACCTTACTGAGAATAAAAAGAAAACCTTACTACTTTAAAAAATAAACAAGTAAATAAAAATCCGCTTCACTGCTTAATGTTTGAAAAACTTTTGTAAACCAAATCAAAGTCGTGGTCCAAACACGCAGGGGAAAAAACATAAAACACTGTAGATTCTTATAAGATATTGTCCCAGATAACAATCGAGTAAATCCCTGGCACGAACAGATGTGTTTAGGAGATGATGGTAAACTGTTTGCCAAATAATTGATGTTTGTGTGGCTCACCGCTGTCACGTGGCCATGCTCGGGATGAAACAGCAACACTGTGGCTCGAGTTCATGGTACACTGGAGCCCTCTTCACGTTGGTAGAAAGACACCATCTTAGTGCATAAAATGCCCTCAGCGGGCAAATATGCAGGCATCACGCCCAAAAACCTGAAAAATGCATCGTGTTTATTTCTATAGGTCTATGTCAGTAAGCGTTAGTGATATTTCGAGATATGGATTTCTTCATCATACCCATTGTGTTGTTGTATAGACCAATTTAGAGTAGACGTCACAGTTACGTCACTTGCAGCTGCGCGCGCATAGTGGTTGCAGAAAAACACTGGGAACAAGTGGAGGTAAATCGCGCGCATCCTGAATGTTTACAAACCGATAATTGGTCTATAGGGACCACAGACCTCACAGGCTGGATTATTTCTGAACTGCCCCGTTTAGAAAACTTTCCCATGACAGACTCCAGTCTGGGAATCAGATCATCGTAAGTGAGCAAACGCTCGACCTCATGTTTGTTTAATGAAACGGCAGACTCGCTCATAGCTGTTTCACCCGTCGGTCTGTCTGTCTGTCTGTCTGTCTTGAGACTTCTGTTTGTTGTGGACTTTAGCTTCTCAGTCACGTGGTTCGCTAGAATCAAATGAGCGTTTTCCTTCTCATTGTATCAATATAAAAACTCTTCATACAAAACTAAAAAAAATATATATATTTTTTAATTGTGACTTTAAATGGTGAAGGCATGACAATTACACGTCGTCATATTAAATGCGCACAAATCTACATAACAAAAATAAACAGAATGTGACGTCGCATCTTATATTTCTTTTTTTAGATTAGCAGCTCACTGGCTGGCAATTGTCATCTATATGTAACAAAATTTATAAACAACGTAAATGTAGTGTAAAAATCGTTGGTTCTTATTTGTAAAACGCTTAGATTTTAAGTACTTAACGAAAAAAAAGAAAAAAGTATATTTATGTCACTATAGACATTTGCAAAATGTCTGTTGAACGGATTCTTATCTTATTGGCAGTAAGATTAAATGCCTCATGTTTGCTGACTTTCATTTCAGATGGCTTCTGAAAGTTATCTAGAATAAAACACTGAAAAAGGTTAAAATTGTTTAATTCAACCAAAAACAGTTTGTGCATGTAACACATCATGCAAATGTTGCATAATTTGTGAATGCCTGCAGCCGTTACACGGGAAAATAAGTACTACATAATAGAACCAAAAACCTGCGGTATTGATTTTATATACCAAATGTTTCATTCACAATATTCACAACTCATTATGATCTGCTTTTGTTTGTGTACATCTGACTGTATTTATTGTAGTTTTATATTAATATGGAGGGGGAAAAGACATGCAACATTTTTCACTTTGCATTAGGTAACAACAGAAAAATGGTCGACTATTTAATTCCATTTTAAAAATGCCAATGTATTAATGTTAGATGTGTAGTATGTACATCTATCAAGCACAAACAACCCACACAAATCATCATTTGATTTTAACCGAACTTTATTTCGGCTGTCAATTGCTGAGAAACAACACACTCAACATTGTTTGATTCTAACATACAAAAAGAAAAGAAAAATCCTTAAGGATTGTACAAAGAAATCATTTATAAAACCTGAAAACAAATGTGTAAGTATGAGCTCAAACTAGGAGTCTTTCAATAGCCATCTGCACAGACTGAATCTGAGGTTTCAGCTGCGATCCCTCCTTAATGGTGACTGATGTGGCAATGACTGGTCTTGACACTCCACATGCACGTCCAAGAGCCTGTTTAGAGCGCACAAACACATACGGCACGTTCTTATCCTCACACAGCAGCGGCAGGTGCAGGATGATCTCTAGAGGTTCAGCATCAGCCGCCATCACAATGAACTCAGAAATCCCACGGTTAAGAGTTTTGGTGGCTGTGGAAGACAATGAAAAATCAGAGCTGGCAAAAGTAACATTCACAATATGTAGAAAATTAGTCACTTGAAATTACACTCAAGTCACTCATTTCGCTGATTAAAGCTTTGTTTTGACTTTGTTTCCCATTCTCAATAACCACACAGCTTGAAAGGGCAAGTTTTAAAGGGGTCATACGATGCTGCTAAAAAGAACATTATTGTGTGTATTTGGTGTAATGCAATGTGTTTATGCGGTTTAAGGTAAAAAAAAAAAAACTGATTATAATGAATACTGTCTTTTTATACGTTGCGTATTGCGTTGCGTAAACATAAAACCATGTCTGCATTTGTGATCGGAGAAATGACAAACAACAAGCGCTACTCTACACTGCTCAAAACTCGCGTTTGAATAGTCAGTGGCAAATTATTTAAATATAAAAAACATACTTCCAGGCTGATAGTCAGAAGCGCAAGACTGTCCTTGCAAAGTTGGAACTGCCCAACTTTATAGAAACAGCCTTTGTGCCACAGACGCAGTGTAGG